GCGCGCCCTGCCTGGCCCTGCGCCCCTCGGCCTCCCAGCCCCGGCCTTGCCAAATGGCTCTGCACGCTGCCCGCCTTGCCTGGGCCTGCATGGTGGCTGGGCCCTCCAGGGGGAGCCGGGCAGAGGAGGGCAGCTGCAGCAGCAGGCAGGGGTCCCCACCCAAGTGGCACAGGAGATGAATGAGACCCCAATTCTCACCCACCGTCACTACTGAGAAGGGTTCACACCCATGAGTAAGGCCACGAGGGTGGGGAAACCAGCAAAGCTGTCCAAGACAGAGAGAGAGTGGGTCTTAGGGAGGCCCTACCCAGCTTGGGAGCAAGCAAGGAGGGCTTCCTGCAGGAGGGGGCCGCTGAGTGTCCCGCCCACCGCAGCCAGCTCAGACCATCTCCTTGTCTTTCCAGGCACTTTGCCCAACCCAGGTATCTGCCCCCCACCCCGCATGCCTAAGCCCCTTGCTTCTGCCAGCCCCTGCACGGGGCTGCAGGCTGGCCTGGCCTCCGCCTGTGTGGAAGGGCAGACATCGCAGGCGGGTGCCAGGCCCGCTGGGGTCTGCTGCAGGGTGGGCATGGGACGGCCAGGGTTGGGCGCCAGGCGTCAGTGGGGGGAGGGGTGTCCACTCCCTGCCTGGTGTTCAGGCCGCTGCCTGCGAGCTTGCGTGTGTCCCTCTGCCCGGCCTGCATGCCTGGCTGCTTCCCTGCCGTGCTCTGGGATCCTGCCGGCTCGTGGCTGCTCCGTGTCTTCAGCGCTGGCCTGGCCTGGCCCTGCTGGCTGCCGGCCCCTTTGGCTGCTTGAGCTGAGCCGACCTCTTTAGTAACCGCATGCCAGACCTAGGAGCATGAGGGTCCCAGGTCGGGGTCAGTCCATAGGCCCTGCTCTCCCAGGCTCTGGGACAGTTGCCCCCTGGCCCCCATCCATGCATGGTTCTGTGGCTGAGGCAGTTCTCATGTGCAGTGGTGGCAGCTATGTCCTCGCCCAGAGGGAGCTCAGGGGGCACTGATATGCCCTGAGGGGGTTACTGCAGGGAGAGCATTTAGTGCAGACAGACCAGCTGGTGGATGCATGGCTCCCCAGGTGATGGCCACCGGACGGACCAGCAGCCAGGCAGGCCCCAGACCCGAGGCAGTGGCCACTGGCCACTTGGAAGACTAGGAGGGGAGGGGCTCTGGGCCTGGTGGCCAGAGGACAGCTCATGCCCAGACGGGGGTGGGGGGAGAGGAGGTGACCCTGCCCCCTAAGAAAGCTCCCATCTGCTGAGTGTCTCAGAACCCCAATGCCAGCCCAGGAGCTCACCATGAAGGCCCCAACGTGGGAGCCCCTGGCAGGGTGGGGTCTGGGCAGGGCCCCAAGACAGGGCCAGGCCGAGTCTCAGCTTCCAGGGCCACTCCTGAGGCTGCCCCCCCGCCCCCACAGCTAAGGGAGTTGGTGGGGGGCCTGCCCCTGAGGCCCACTGAGGCCCAGACCTCCCACCCTGGGTTGTCCATCAGATTCACAGGGAGCTACCTCTTACCTAAATGGGCCCCCTTACTTGAGAGAAACCCCTCCCGCACCCTCCTGCAAACCCCCCACATCTGAGCCCGGGGCCCTCCCCCAGCCCCACCCCCACCATCTAGCCCTGGTCACAGGCGCCCTCTCCCTGCAGAGGCCCAGCGCCGGCCCTACTACGCTGACTACTCGCCCACCCGCCGCTCCATCCACTCGCTGTGCACCAGCCACTACCTCGACCTTTTCATCACCTTCATCATCGGGGTCAACGTCATCACCATGTCCATGGAGCACTACGACCAGCCCAAGGTGGGGCTCAGGGTGCCAGACCCTGCCCACCCTGCCCAGGACCTGTGTGGGAGGGTCCCAGGTCGGGGTCAGTCCATAGGCACCCCAGGGTGCCACGGGGGCAGGGGGGTCTGGCCCCCAGTGGGTGGCCTGGTCAGGAGGCGCGACCCCAAGAACTGGGAGGTCTTAGGTCTACAGCCCTGGGTGAGCCCTCACTCGGGTTTGTGAATTGCGGTTTGAACAGAGGGTCCTCCTTTTAACAACAGTTGAAACTCTTAGGGCCACCTGCCCCCAGAGAGCCCCCACCCCCATGAGTGGTTCCATCTTGAAACTCTGGCTGTTGAAATGTCCCTGAGTCCAGCTGCCCAGGCTGTAGATTTCACAATCCAGGAAACAGCCAGACAGAAAGAGCTGGCAGGAGACGGGTGGGCACACATGGTCAGCTTGTTGCTTCACTCCAGTTACATCTGCATCGCCATCATTTCATTCAAGAAAGGGCACCGCCTCTCCCGCCCCCTCCACGGGGAGGGAGGAGTCTCAGTAGGTATCACAGCCTTGGAGTCGGAACCCACTCAGCTCTTCAGGAAGCTGAGCTCTGGCTGGCAAGGGCTGGCCCCTACCCCCGACTGTGGGTGGGGCCTGGGCAAGGCAGGGCCAGGAGTCTGGGCTCAGAGGGGCAGGTTCCCCCGACCTGAGAGTTGACCTCAAAATGCTGCAAGGATCAGTCCAGGTGATGCCTCCCAGACCTGGCACAGGCCGCAGTAGTACGTGCTCAGTAGCTGGGCCTCAGACCTGTCCTCGGCCTGGAGGCACCCAGATTGGTGCAGGAGAGAGATGGGGCAGGGTGGCCAGGACCCAGGCACTGGGTGCCTAGTGCCATGGTGGGATGGTGGGGGAGGAGGAGGAGGGACAGCCCAGGCAGGGTGACCGCCACAGCCTGACACTCTGTCCACAGTCGCTGGACGAGGCCCTCAAGTACTGCAACTACGTGTTCACCATTGTCTTCGTCATTGAGGCGGTGCTGAAACTGGTGGCGTTTGGGTTCCGGAGATTCTTCAAGGACAGGTGTGTGGGGTGTCGGCCACCTGATGCCCTGAAGGACCCATGGTGCTTTTGGGGGAAGGAGCAGGTGGGAGCCACAGCCCTCCCCACCGGTGGTCCCAGCCTTCTGTCTGCAAAGGTGATGGGGGTGTGGGATGCACCCCGGGGGTGACACCACGGCATGCCTGTGGGTGACAATAGGATACCTCCAGAGTGATACCAGGGTAAGCCCCAGAGTGATAGCAGGATGCTTCCAGGGTGATAGGGAGGGGACTCCTCCTGCTCTAAAGGGCTGCGGGGGAGGGGGGGGGGGGGCAGGGGGAGCAGGATGACACTGAGCCCAGTTGGCGCCCAGGTGGAACCAGCTGGACCTGGCCATCGTGCTGCTGTCCATCATGGGCATCACACTGGAGGAGATCGAGATGAGCGCGGCACTGCCCATCAACCCCACCCTCATCCGCATTATGCGTGTGCTCCGCATCGCCCGCGGTAGGCACCCTCCTCACCGTGCCCCAAGGCCTCAGCGGGGGGCTGGTGCTGGTGACAGGAACGTCAGGGATGGGTGGTCCTGGGGCCCGGCCAGCTGGGGAGGGTCAGCCTGGCCCGGCCCCAACCAGGCCCTGACACTCGGCTCTGGGCCCTAGTGCTGAAGCTGCTCAAGATGGCCACAGGCATGCGGGCCCTGCTGGACACGGTGGTTCAAGCCCTGCCCCAGGTAAGCGCACGGCTGCCAGGAAGACAAGGCCTTGCACGTTGTCATTCAGTCAGTCGTCAGTCAGGCATCTGCACTTGTGATAACCACACTCATCACCCCCACATGTGCAGGCAACGGTAGCTGTGCTGGGAGGGCGATGGCTGTCTGCCTGCTGGGCCCCAGTCCCTCTGGGGAAGATAGACGGCCAGTGCCTGCCTGCCTCGGTCCAGCACTGGGCGCAGGGGCATGAGGGCAGAGGACATGGCCAAGTTCTGAGTTCCGAGAAACCCAAAGATCGGGTGTTGGCTGAAGGCCTCGCTCCTCCTTTGGAGCTAACTCAGGCCCCGTGTCCTCACTTCCTGTGTCCACAGTCCCCACGCTGACCCTTTGTGACCTCTTGAACTGAGAGAATCCCTTTGCCCCATCTGTGCAGTGTCCAGTTCTTCCGCCAACCCAGCCTGTTCAGCCATGTGTCCCTCTGTCCATGGTTCTCTTTCGGCCGCCCATCCGTCCACCTAACCACCCATGTGTCCGTCTGTCTGTTATCCAGCCAGCCACTCACACCACAGCTGCTT